AGCGGAACCTCCAAAGGCACGGGACATAGAGTTGGCAGGACCCCCGATAGAGGAGTAGTCGGCGGGACCTCCAACAGAACAGGACAAGGGATTGGCAGGACTCCCGGCAGAAGAGTAGTCGGCAGGGCCTCCAACGGGATAGGACACAGGGTTGGCAGGAGAGTAGTCGGCGGGGCCTCCAACGGCAAAGGACTTAGGGTTGGCAGGACCCCCGGCAGAAGAGTAGTCGGCGGGGCCTCCAACGGCACTGGACATAGGGTTGGCAGGACCCCCGGCAGGAGAGTAGTCGGCGGGGCCTCCAACGGGACAAGACACAGGGTTGGCAGGATCCCCGGCAGGAGAGTAGTCGGCGGGGCCTCCAACGGCACAGGACTTAGGGTTGGCAGGACCCCCGGCAGAAGAGTAGTCGGCGGGGCCTCCAACGGGACAGGACATGGGGTTGGCAGGACCCCCGGCAGAAGAGTAGTCGGCGGGACCCCCAACGGGACAGGACATAGGGTTGGCAGGACCCCCGGCAGGAGAGTAGTCGGCGGGACCCCCAACGGGACAGGACATCGGGTTGGCAGGACCCCCGGCAGGAGAGTAGTCGGCGGGACCCCCAACGGGACAGGACAAAGGGTTGGCAGGACCCCCAGCGGAACCTCCAACGGTACAGGACATAGGGTTGGCAGGACCACCGGCAGAAGAGCAGTCTGTGGGACCTCCAACGGCACAGGACATGGGGTTGGCAGGACCCCCGGCAGAAGAGCAGTCTGCGGGACCTCCAACGGCTCAGGACATGGGGTTGGCAGGACCCCCGGCAGAAGAGTAGTCTGCGGGACCTCCAACGGCACATGAGTAGAGACTTGAGTGGGAACTCGAGAGAGAGGGCTTGAGAGGGAACCCGAGAGGAAACTCGAGAGGTGTCTCGATAGGAGACTCGAGAGGTGACTTGAGAGGAATTTCGAGAGGGAACTCGAGAGGGGACCTGAGAGGGAACTCGAGAGGTGACTTGATAGGGAACTCGAGAGGGGACTCGAGAGAGGGCTTGAGAGGGAACTCGAGAGGAGACTCGAGAAGGAACTGGAGAGGAGACTCGAGAGGGAACTCGAGAGGAGACTCGAGAGGGAACTCGAGAGGAGACTCGAGAGGGAACTCGAGAGGAGACTCGAGAGGGAACTCGAGAGGAGACTCGAGAGGGAACTCGAGAGGAGATTTGAGAAGGAACTGGAGAGGAGACTTGAGAGGGAACTGGAGAGGGGACTTGAGAGGGAACTGGAGAGGAGACTTGAGAGGGAACTTGAGAGGTGACTTGATAGGGAACTCGAGAGGGGACTCGAGAGAGGGCTTGAGAGGGAACTCGAGAGGAGACTCGAGAAGGAACTGGAGAGGAGACTTGAGAGGGAACTCGAGAGGAGACTCGAGAGGGAACTCGAGAGGAGACTCGAGAGGGAACTCGAGAGGAGATTTGAGAAGGAACTGGAGAGGAGACTTGAGAGGGAACTCGAGAGGGGACTTGAGAGGGAACTCGAGAGAGGACCCGAGAGGAAACTTGAGAGGGAACTCGAGAGGGAACTGGAGCGGGGACTCGAGAGGGAACTGGAGAGGAAACTTGAGAGGGGACTCGGCTAGGAACTTGAGAGGGGACTCGAGAGGGGACTAGAGAGGGAACTTGTGTCGGTCGGTACGCTGACAGGACACGGAGAGCTGGCGTTGGCTGGAGAGCCAACAAGAGACGAGGTACTGGAGTCGGCCGGTACGCCGACAGGACTCGGGGAGCTGGTGTTGGCTAGAGAGCCAACAGGAGACGAGGTGCTGGAGTCGGCCGGTACGCCGACAGGACACGGGGAGCTGGCGTCGGCTGGAGAGCCAGCAGGAGACGAGGTGCTGGAGTCGGCCGGTATGCCGACAGGACTCGGGGATCTGGCGTTGGCCGATGAGTCAACAGGTGACGAGGAGCCGGAGTCGGGACCATGACTGCTGGGGCCGGTACTTGAGCCGGAACCATGGCTGGAACTGGGGCCGGAACCATGGCTGCATGGGCCGGTTCTGGAGCCGGAAACATGGCTGTAAGATCCAGTTCTGGAGCCGGTAACATGGCTGTAAGGTCCGGAGCTGAAGCCTGGATCATGGCTGTGTGGGCCGGCTTTGGAGCCGGAATTGAAGCCGGAACCATGGCTGCCGAGGCCAGAACTGGGGCCGGAACCATGGCTGCTGGAGCCAGAACTGGGGCTGGAACCATGGCAGCTGGGGCTGGAACCATGGCTACTGGGGCCAGCACTGGGGCTGGAACCATGGCTGCTGGGGCCAGAACAGGGGCCGGAACCATAGCTGCTGGGGCCAGAACTGGGGCCGGAACCATGGCTGCTGGAGCCAGAACTGGTGCTGGAACCATGGCACTTTGGGCTCGTGCTCCTAACCTGGCCTTGCAACTCCTTCTTTTAGGAGCCGTTTGGAGACTCCGTGGACCTCCAAAAGCCAGACGAGTACCAGCGAATGGCTCCTGGACTGTAGCAAACACTGGGTGAGAAGCAGGGGCTGACGCCAGATGGACCACACCGATGCGTGTGGTATCAAAAAGGGAATTGGGAGACCTGGGTCTATCAGGATCGGGAAAACAAACCGTGAGGTAATCCAAAAGCCAGGCAGGTAAGAATTTAACCAAATCTTGATTCTTCATTGTAAGGTTGAATGCTTCTGCCAGAGCAGCATCTCACTGTTGAACCCTGACCGCTCCTATCCATCGATGAGCGCAGTCAGACAAAGAAAAGGTGTAATCCAATAGTTCCTGCTCAAACGGATCTGCTGGGCCCATATCTCTGGTCGGTTCGTAATGTTACGGTGTGTGCAGGAAGCAGGACCCAAATGCAGATTAAAGTGTCAAAAATATCTCCTTTATTTCAAGGCTATACTATAAACAAAGACAGAACAGAACACTCACCGAAGACCAGGTCATAACACAAGACGAACGGACAAAGACAGACAAAAAAACCAGAATTTAAATACACACAAGACTAATTATACAAACAAGACACAGGTGAGGAGGGAGGAGAAAACACAGGGACACAGGTGCACACAATCGGGTAATAAGACACACCATGGGAAACTAACGACAGGGAACCACAGACAGATCTAAAGACAAAACACAACGCAGACAGAAAACCAAAGACAGATCTAGACAAGACACAACGCAGACAGAAAACCAAAAACAGATCTAGACAAGACAAAACACAACACAGACAGAAACAGGCAAGACAGGAGGTGAAGACCTTTCAACATAAAACATGAAACAAAAGACAGAAAAAGACAAGACAAAATACAACACAGACAGATCTTGATACAAGGATTATCCCCAATATCTCCAAACAGATACACAGATATAAAGAACCATTGAAAAATATTTTTTTAAAACCACTATATATTATGTTGTTTACCTTGTGTACATAACTTACACTATTATGTTTATGCTTAACAGTATTTTACCAATTTTAGGAAGTATTCAAAGTTAAAAGTGTAGGTAAAAGTGGGTATACTGCAATTGAAAGATAATTAATTACAAGTAAAAGTCCTCCACTGTAAATGACAAACCAGAAATGTAGTGGTTTAATTGTTGGTTTAGCTGGAGCTTAATTTAGCTATATTTTATTCTGTTTAATTTAATCCTAGCAGTGGATATATATACATCCTATGCATGCAGACTCTGCATGCAAAGTAACCAAAGCTGTCATATGAATGAATTTAAGTTAAAAAAGTACATTATTCAAGTACCACTGCAGGTTGCTGTTAATAACATTTTAAATGGAAGTTACTTTAATGAATGTGTTTACGTTCATGTGCTGCTATACTTTTACTGAAGTAAGGAAACATTCACTAGAGGTGGATGGATGGATGGATGAGATCAGGACAAGAATAATATACATAAAGTGGATAGCCTCCCTCCTGTGTTGCCCATATGCAACAAGAGGGATGTTCAGCACAGGACTGGGCAGGGAAAGAGGAGAGGATTTCCCTTGTAAAACGCAAGTGTGAGCCCCCCCCCCCCCCCCCCCCCCCTTGCAACCCTCTCCTCCCTCCACCACCTCCACCGCACTTCCCCTACCGGTGATGTCAGGGCGGGCAGGGGCTTCTTGATAATAAAAAAAACCTTTAGACGAGAGAGAGAGAGAGAGATGAGAGAGGAGAGAGAAGAGGAGAGAGGAGAGAGGAGAGAGAGAGGAGAGAGGAGAGAGAGAGAGAGAGAGAGAGAGAGAGAGAGAGAGAGAGAGAGAGAGAGAGAGAGAGAGAGAGAGAGGGGGGGGGGGGGGGAGGAGGGGAAGAGGGAGAGAGAGATGGAGGAGTGAATGGAGGAGGATATTACTACTACTGCACGGACCGATGCAGAGGAGCAGCAAGTCATTCTGAGGCGCACACAGACGCACAACAAAAACCAAGAGGAGCTGACGCGCAGACGCCGAGCTATGATTTAATGGACTAATATTAGTGTCCCCTCTTTTAGAAGGAAAAAGCTTCTGCTCAACAAGTATGGTAGCTAGTTAAGGACTGGCACTTTGCACTGAGTTTGGAGTGACTTTTCTTTTTTCATTATTCTGATTCACCTTGCAGCCATATTTTGGATCAGGACGCACTGAATGATCCCGCTGTGGTCAGGTAAAAAAGAGGCTTTATTCAAAGTCAGTGTGGATTGAAATGATCAGATTTCACCTGATTTATTCCTGGAATTGAAATCTGCCCTCTTAGGTTATAAAAAAACCCAATTCTGTTTCTCTTTATTTCAGATTTGAAATCAGCCTGACGTTTAAACATAATTGTTTGGCTTACTAAAACGCAGAAAGGAGTTTTATAAATACACATTTTTTTTCTAGAAGTAAACAGAAACTTAAACACGCTACAGATATTTTGCGGAACACACAGATGTAAAGAAGGCTCGTGCAAAGTGCATAACTGTGCTGCAGCTGCGTGAAGAAAGGATTTGGATGAACTCAGAATCAGAGAAAATAATATCTTCAGTTACTAAACGTCTGCTTTATTCAAAATCAATACAAAACATATACAAAGAACCTCAATATCCAATAAGTTCAAGAATGTGACAACCTCTTTCTTTAATTGATTCATTTCGAATGCACTGATTTATTTTACATTTGATTATTTTTACAATTTGTTTACCACAAGAAATACATTTTCTAATTCGGTAGCCTAAACAGATGTTTCTTTCAGTAAATATACACAAACAAATCGAATAACCACAGTTTGGCGAATTGGCGTGAGACCTCTTGCTGCTGACCTGGAAAACAGAGGCTGACTTTTTAAGAGCTAAAACGTTTCCCCCCCCCAATTGGTCTTCAATAAAACAACGACAAAAACCTGTTCCTAACCTGAAACAATGTTGTTCATCAGACTACAGGCTATATTTCTTGTTTTCATCACTAACACGTGGCTGCTCAGCCCGGTTCGCTCCGATGCAATGAGCCGGTACAAGCGCAGCATGGTCCGGCGGGCAGACAGTGAGCTCTCCAGGCTAGCAGGTGAACCCTGCACCTCGTCCGGCGTCTGGAGGTCCTTGCGGCAACCCCGCTCCCTCTCCCCGTCCCAACACCGCCCTCCAGCGGTCCGTCCGAGGACACACACGAGCCGGAGAGAGCCGTACAGTGTTAAGAGCGCTCCTTCGGTTTGTGAGGGAGGGTGCAGCAGGTTTGACACCGGGGTCCACCGGGTCGCTGCCGCGGGGGAGGATGTGGTGGAGAGTGCTGGGGACGGATATGATACGGTTACCGGACGGCACTTTGAGGACAGCCACACAAACGACAAGCGAAAGACAAATGATGTCAGTGAAAGCACCACGCAGCAGCCCGGAAAGCCTCTCCTTAAAGACCCCGGGAAACCCGTGTCCTCCTCGGGCCACACGAAGCCCTCCCGCAGCACTCGCTCGAGGGTCACTCGCAGCCTCGGTGGCGCGTCTCCGTACGAGGAAGACGGTAACTCCAGCTGGGAGAAAGTTTTCCCCGACAGCTCAACAGATTCCAGGGGTCTCCTGGTACTTTACAGGCTGCAGCAGGAAGATGGAGACCAGCAGTCCTCCACCGGTAACATTGAGGATAGTACCGAGGACTACTCCGGGGAAGTGGTGGAGGAGGAACAGCCCGCGAACATGCCTGTCGGGAGTTCCCTTCCCTGGGGGAGTCCCTTGCCAAGGGTGCCCCCTTCCTGGATGACTGCCCTGTACTTCAGTGGACGCAGGGAGCAGCTGAAGGTGAAACCGGCTGCAGGGGTGGAGCTGCCGAGGGCCAAGTTCAGCCTGGAGCTGTGGGTGAAGCCTGAGGGAGGGCAGAGCAACCCTGCAGTCATAGCAGGTGGGTGAAAACTGAGCATGAGCTGCATGATAGACACGAACTGATGTGGAATGTACATTGTACAAGTAGCACCAAATTACTCAAATAGACCCACTGTACTTAAATATTCTACACATTCAATGCACTTGTATTCTTATCTTACTTAGGCATATCTCAATTGTATGCAATTGTATACCTATTCTCCACTACATCACAGAAGCCAATATGAAATGTTGTAGTTTATTACTCCGACAGCTTTAGTTACTTTCCATATTACAATTTTACCTACCCTTTTAGTCCAGTGAATAACAAGTATCTCTATATCCCCTAAACTGAAAGATGACATGTTTAAGTAAGCAATAGTTAAAATTAGCAGAACTTTGAACATTCTTAAACATACAAGGCAACAGTAAAATGAGTCCCAAAATACATCCTTTTAGTAGCCTAGTCACTGTCAGGGAACATTCTACTTTTCTTTTGGTACTTTGGCACATTTGCCTTGTAATATTTGATACTACGAAAACTAATAACTAAGGTTTGAAAAGTAAGATGTTGACTTTTACTGGGTGTGTTCACACTCTGGTTTTACTACTTAAAATATCTTAAAACTTCTCTGTGTTAGTAAAACTCATATCTGGCTTCTTACTAAAGTTCCCCCCTGGAAGATGTAAGCAGAGTCTCATGACCGCACACTGTGTTGGGGATATATGCCCCATGACAGAATTTGGGAGATATATTCATTTATTTTTCTCCAAGAACACTTTCCCAATCTGAGAACTATACTGATCAGTATCAGAAATTGTTTCTCTTGTCTGCTTGTTCTTTCCCAGTTCTCAAGTATCCTAGATTATATTCTGACACTTATGGTGCTGTATGTTATTGCAAATAACTTGTGACAGCTATACTATATCTACTAACCCTAATAACATTAGGGTTTTCTTTTTTAACAGCAATCACTTGTGCTGTGTGACGTTAGTGTTAAATGGCTTCCAAGAAAAAATGAGCCTACTTTTCACCAGAAAGGTCAAACAGAGTTCAACCAGGATTTACTCTGTTTGGTGTTTACTGCCAACATGGTGACTCAAGCAAAAGAGGATTTGCTCAGTTTTATATAATTACTTTTGTTGATGATTGTCAATTCAATGTGTTTGGGTTTAGGAATCTAACAGGGTTAGACTTCTAAAGGTCACTTGTTGTCTTGTTGTTTGTACATTTCATTCTGTTTTTGTCATGTTATTGTATATGTTACAGTGAGTGCTTGAGAAACAATGATATTAATGAATTTCCTCACTACTATGTATTGATTAATGTACTTTATTTTGGCCAACATTTATGCTAATGTCTTAAATGATATTATTCGAAAACTGGTTCAAATGAAGGCCCTTGATGTGATGGGGCGACACATGCTGAGAAAGTAAATAGTCTTAAAAAAGGATTGGTTTTTCAAATGTTGATAAAGGTTAAAACATTTGACAACTTGCCTAAATGTAGAACACTTGAGAATTCAAACGCATTTCATGCATTAAAATACAGTTATTGTTAAAATATAATATATTTTACTGAGGGCTTCCTGGTAGTGAACAACCTCAGAAAATGATCGCTCAACTCTGGAGTTTTTTTAGCTTTACAAAATATTTGCCTTTAAGCCCATTGTTTTGGTTTTCTGGCCTTGAAATTGTCTTAAGAGGTTTTCTCTATGACTTTCATCAACCATGTTTCAAGGAAAGAAAAGAACATCTCTGACACCACCACCAAGCGCCAAACTGCAGAAATATTAGCGCCATACTAATATCGGAGCAGCTTAACAGCCAGAGGTTTCTCTCCCCTGTTGGGAACGGAATCAGAGTCAATATTGGACTTGCATTGCCAGAAACATGGCGCCAAGTGAATGCTAATGTTGCTTCCAGACTGCTTAAGGTGTAAATAGCCAATTGTTTGCTGACATATTTGCAATAACAGTTTTAGAAAGACATTTTATGTTAATATTGTGTTTTCCGCTATTTCCGCTGCCCCTAACTGGCCCCCCAAAAAATATAATGCAGCTTTAAAACATTAGTTCTTAATGGAGACCAGGAGAGAGATGAATAGTATCCTCAAACTAATATTTGTGGTATTGCAAATGTCTCACAACCTAAACACCACATTTTCCCATAACCTTGATGTTTCGTCTTGCAAACGCAGTGTTGTCACTTTTTTGGCAGTTTCCCCACGACCATCTGCTGTTGCATGAAACACAGAAAACTTTAGCTCAATTTTGTTTCATTTAAACAACGCCCTCCTCCTGGTTTGTGCCAAACTTCAACAGATTTCCAAGGAGATTAAATTGTGAGACAGACACGTATCACCAAGAAGTTTATATAACTGCATTTGTGAATTTGTCACCTTTGGATGATTGATGGTTTATTTAATGACTTAGTCCAATATTTTAACGTTTAGCATTTCGTGAGTTACTGTGGATTAGTGATGTTGCGTGATAAGTCGATTTTAAACGTTGGTGCCCTTGCTCGTCTGTGACCCAAATAGAAGTAAGTTACAATTATTGGTAGAATTATTATTACTTAATGAATATACACATTTAAATAACATATTGGCTTAATTTGCACTGAATAAGAAACAATTCTTCATTCAGTTAGCTAGTTAAGATGAACAAAGACGTTTTCAAATGGCTAATACAATTGGCGCAACATTTTAAGTTTATCCTTATATATTATATTGTGCTCAATGTTTCTGAGTATGTATGGATAGATTGTATACATGTATTTGTTTGATTACATTTGGTAGTACAATGTAATCTAATTAACTTGGCCCAGCTACTGTTTAGCCTCCCAACGACAGCTTTCTTTAACTGAATGAATTGCTTAACCATGATCCTGGCTCACTTCCGAAAGGATATTTTGTTTTAGTTTTCCCACTTCTCACACTCGCGCACACATAGTCATGTAAACATATACACATGCTCATACAGTAGAGCATTAAGGAGGGTGAAGGGGTTCCCTGACCCCACGCTGTCCCAGTGAAACACATCTGGGGAGCAGATGTGGATCTGTGTGTGTCTGTTGCAACAGCAAATGAAAACACAAGGGCCTTGCCCTGGCTGAGAGAAATACCTCCGTCCTCCCTTCCCTCTCTGTTCTCTCTTACTATATCTGGCTCTGTCTATTCTCTGGGGTCCCAAGTCCTCAGGACCGCAAACACTTGGAAAGATTGCTTGTTTGTGTGTTTATTTGTGTGTTTTCATAAAGGCTATGAGCTCATTGTGAATTAGTCCTTGGACCCTGCCAAATAATAATTGCTTTATTGAATTTTACTGGTATTCTTATTAAATAATATATATTATAATATATTTTACTTTCCCCCTTTCCCATAGGTGTATTTGACAACTGTTCCCATTCACTAAGTGAGAAGGGCTGGTCGGTAGGTGTCCGCACTGTGGAACCCGCCAGTGCCAAAGACGCACGGTTTTACTTCACGCTTCGCACAGACCGAGCTTTAAAATCCACCACTGTCTTAAGCCACCAGCGTTACAGAGCCAACGCCTGGACTCACCTGATGGCTACTTACAACGGCCACAACATGACCCTGTATGTTGATGGAGCTAAGGTGTGTGATTTGAGTGTTTTGGTGGTCGAACTTTGGCTCACATTTTGGTCATTTACCTCTTAAGTTTCAACTCAACAATCACTGAAATACCATGATGGTATATTGACATCACAATCCAAGCCCAAGGTCCACCTACTAGATTTATCTGGGTCTTTCACCAACATCACATGGACTTTATTTTGTTTCCCAAGCTACATAATCGTCTTTATGCTTAAACGTGACATAGATGTATAGAGAACAGCTACTTAGTTTGCTTGTCAACAGATCAGTCTCCATGACAACTGAGCAAACTCAAACTCATGAAGACATAGTTACGTGGTTGAAAGCCTAGAAAAAACTAGTATGCAGATCTTTAGTTTGGATTATTTTGTCAAACATTTCTGAGGTCAAGATGACCTTTTTTCTGAAATGCTTATTTATTCATCATCCAATTTATTTCATGCCAGTTTCAGAAAAATTGAAATAGGACAGAGCAAGAGACTATATTAGCTTCTAATTTTGCCATTCTCAATTGATCAATAATTTCATTTTTTTGTAACAAATACAGTGTTTGAATTATCTTGGCAATGTAGTTGTTTTTTGGATAGCTCGCCTTATTAATAACAGGCTGTAGTGTTAACCAATCAGAGCATTAAAGGAATAGAGAAAATATGTAAAAGGCCTTAACTTTGTTGACAATCAGATGGAGAGCTTCTCAAGTGACATGTAAAATCAGCAGCTGCAAACCCTGGGTTATGTAATGCTAAATATGTACTTTTTAGGAAGTCAAATCATTTTAGAAACTTTTGATTAGAACATAACTCATGGTATTATGTTTGTAACAATGCAAGGGAGAGACATTTATTTTCTGCCCCTTTTGAATTGTTTGGCTGTCATTTCTCCCCTGCTTGTCCTTTCAGGTGGGAGAGAGCAGTCATCAGTCGGGGAATCTCTACAGTCCTTACATGAAGACATGCAGAACCCTATTCCTTGGCAGTAACCAATCGGATCAGGGAAACAGCTTCAGGGGCCACATAGGGGGTGTGGTGTTGTGGGGCTATGACCGCTCTCATGAGGACCTGCTAAAGCGGCCACTTCAAACTGATAAAAGCGAGCCATTGGTGGCAATGTGGGCTGACTTCACTAATGTAATCAACTATATCTCTTTTTTTTCCCAAAAAATAATTTTCCTCTCAAACTTGTCCCGTGTTTAGTTGTTCCATATGAAAACTGGTCTGGTTTTAGTAATAAAATGTATTTATTTTACTTCTTACTTTGAGGTGGAACAGCTATGGACTCCTAACAAAGTTGGCCTCCATCCAACAATCATCACCACTCCTGTCCCTGAACAAGAACTTGTATCCCCGTTCCTGCCGCCACCCTGTGGCCTGACACCCTGCGACAACACCGACATCATCTCCGGCTACAACAACAACTGGCAGCTCCGTGCTAACAAGCAAGTTCGCTACCAGATCGTCAACCTCTGCAATGACTCTGGTGGAAATCCCACCGTGTCTGAAGCCCAGATCCAGCTCCAGCACCTGGCTCTAACTGAGGCATTCCGCCCTTACAACATCACCCTGGATCTGAGCGTGCACACTGTCAGAAACTCCAGCTTCAGAGAGCGGTTTATCCTCAGCAACTGTCGGATTGGGAAGATTGGGAACCGCAAATGTGACCCTGAGTGCGACCACCCGAGGACAGGCCATGACGGAGGGGACTGCCTTAGATTGGGACTCTGCTACAACTGGAAGAGACAGGATGGAGTTTGTAACATGGAGTGCAACAGTATACACTATGACTACGATGATGGAGACTGCTGTGACCCGGGGGTCACTGACGTCCTCAAGACCTGCTTCGATCCCGAGTCCCCTGACAGGTGAGGTTCCAAATGCTCTAACGTGTAGTTTTTTCTTTTTGGTTTCTGTTAAAGGTCACCTATTATGCAAAATTGACTTTTTCACGTCTGTTATACATAAACATGTGTCCCCTCTGTGTAAAGAGATTCTGAAAATGTCAGGAAAAAAGATTTGCTCTTTTTGTCCTGATCCATTTATATAAAAACCTGTCTGAAAATGAGCTGATCAGATTTTGGCCACTTTATGATGTCATAACAATGTTTTGGCTTGTGTAACCATTACGGCCCGTCCACACAGCAGCTTTGAACAAATCTTGAAAATCTTGGAGCTGGGCGTGTCTGACAGCTTGGGGATTTTTTGCGAGCAACACGACCAACAACCAATCACATGAATCTCCCGCCCCCGACATACAAAGCAAAAAAAAAACGGGGATTTTATGCGAGCAATATATATATATATATAAACTCCCCAAACAGGCGAAAACCTACCAGTTTCACCCACTGTCTCTGGCACCTCCCTCCATGCCTGGTTCCTCCGGTTTGTATCCCGGTAAATAGTCTGGTCGTAAAGAACCGGGTGATTTGCTACCGTAATTTCTCGTTTGGAATATGAGGAAATGAACTGCGGTCTGGCTCTCCCTGCTTACACGCGGTTTGATTGGCTAGAGCTTCTACTGTCAGATTTGCATAAACGGGTTTGATTGGCTGACGCTTCCAGCTCAGTTTCAAAAGTTGAACATTGCTCAACTTTTGAATCCTGAACATCCTGGAAATCCTGGAAATCTTCGCTTCGCTCCCCCACAATGCAGTTCGGCGACAAGCGAGGAAAAGTGACGTCATCCCCATTCAAAGTCAATGGGCAGAGAAGCGTTGGAAGCGGTGGAAGAATCGTCTAAAGCTGCTGTGTGGACGGGCCGTTAGCCAATCACCAACCAAGGTAATCCCCCCCCCCCCACCTTATCACTTGAATCTCCTCCCAGAGCACCGTTGTGTTATTTTTAACCAAATCTCTCTCATGCGGCTTTCACACCAGCGCTTTTCCCTTTCTAGCTCCGAGCGGGAGCTTTTCTGGTTCAGCTCCGGTTTCCCTTTTCTGCTCCCGCTCTGTTCACACCGCCCAGAGCTGCTGCTGCTGCGTCATGACGTCACCGTTTACGTGCCTGCTTCATAAAATCCAAACCGCGGAAATCCCTCACATCGACAACAACAACAATGGCCGATTGTATTGAAGCGCTGTTCGCTTTGGTTATCCTCTTACGAAACAACATGGAAGGCATCGGACGACTTTACAAGGGACGACTTTACTTGGAACTTTACAAACATCACATGCGAAATGCAAGACTTCTTTGTGGTCTTCAGCATCAACGACGAATCTGCCCCTGCCCCCGCCTCGACGTAAGAGAGACGTAAGCGACGCCGCCTCTTAGCTCCGAAGCTCTTGCCTCTAGACCGACAATTTTTTGGAGCTGGAAGTGAACCGGATTCCGGAGCTAAGAGGCGGCGCCTCTGCGGTGTGAACAGGAAAAAACGGTACTTTTCAGGCTCCAGCTCCGAGCCGGAGCTGAAAACGCGTTGGTGTGAAAGGGGCATCAGAGGGGCGTGGGGAGTAGCTCCTTATTTTCATCTGAAGTAACAGACAGAGAATCAGCACTTTTGAAACAGGGCTGAAACAGAGGGGTTTATGGGATGCTACAATGCATGATCTGTTTGACATTTCGAGCCAAACACTTCAGAGACATGTTTTGTATATATCTGAGACCTATAATATATTGAGGAAAAACAGTATAATAGGGGACCTTGAAATTACTTCGAATGAAACTTAACTCTTTCTGCAGATGTGTCACAGTGTTATATTTGTACATAAAGGGAAAATAAACATTAGTTGACAGGGTCTTATTATGCCAAATTGTACTCTAGATTGTACGACTTAGCTCAATTGACTTTTGCTATCAACTTTTCTCAACTTCATTTTTGCATGCAGATAGTACCCCCTCCATTTAGTCAAATTTAGGTTGAATGTATATAAACAAAATGTGCGGTCGCTATTGACTATTGGCTATAAAGCAATTGTTGATTTGTACACAATGTCCCTTGTTGTCCAAGTTATGATTTCAGTTTGTATTCTCTCTGACCACTGAGCGGTCTGCAGCGTTATTAGTATCCGCACAGCTCACTCGGAACCTGAAATTTACTGACATTACTGTCTTAGAGGATTTTAAGTAAATTGTTTCCAGAAGTATGTTGTTGCATGTCCCATAATTGTTTTTGAATATACAGTAAACTGACCAGTCCATTTATATGTATCAATGTATATTAAGACAGGAGAAAAGTGTAAAGGGCTACAATGTAAGATTGACAGAGTGGTGAAAGCACCAGGGGGATACGTATATCAGCCAGTCAGGAGAACATGTTTTTCCAGAGGCAAGGAGAGCATAAACTGCCACTAATTTCTCCCCATGAGGTGAATATCTGCTTCAGCACGCTAAATTGTGCTTCAGCAGGGATTTGCAATGAACAGCTCAACATGCTACATCTACAAATTGGTACTCTCACTTTCCCCAGTGGTTTTAAACAGGGCTCTGTGAAGTGGGGATGGTGGGTGAAGAGGCCAAAGTACACACTTATTTTTACTAAACAACTAGAGCGGGAGCCTGCTGTCTTCTATTTGGTCTGACAGACAGGCTCATGCAGAGTTCCAAATAGTATGCATGAAGTCTCACCATGAAGTCGTCGGCCCAGGCTCTTAAAGACCCCGTTCTTAATCCAAATTGTAACCACAAGCTTTACACTTGGCCACTGGGAAACAGAACATGGGAGCGAGAGCTATTTTTTAAAACGATTTTGCGCTTGGTGTCCAGAGTTGACAGAGTGTGACAGCTTAATGCAAAGATGTATTCATGTTTTTTAAACTAGTAGCTTTTTTAAAGGATTACAATTTATTTTGTCATAATCCAAATCCCAACGTTTCAATTTAAGCAAAGATAAACATTTTCTATCTACATAACACTTATTTAAAATCACAAATTGGATATTTATTCCTTATTCAACCCAATTCCTTTAGCTTCAAATCATGTTTATTATTAACAAATATGAGAAAACCTTTGTTGTAAAGTAATTTCATCTTCAGCTGGGCTATGAATAAAGGACACACAAAACGTGATATATGCTCAAGCGTTGCCTTAGGCAGAGGTCATGACCTTGGGAACATTTGATTTAAGATTTGGAAATGCCTACTGTCTTATTCATAAATAATACCAACAGAAGGTTATTGGTATTTCATTCTGTCAATCAGGAACTTGGTTAACCAATACCCAAGTCCAAGTAACCATTGCAAACTTAAACTGTATATAAATGACTGTTGGGTTTTACAAAAGTGAACTAGTGGAAACACAATTATACTATTGTATGGGAAATTGAAGATTAGCTTCTAATTTATCCACACTGCCGGTAGCTTTATGTATCGTAGATGTCACAGTTCCTGCAGCGATCTCTTTTCCTCCATTACGTAGTATGGTAGTATAACCAAATGCTACATTCCTATGTTATTTCTCCTTGAGAAAATAACAAGGAGACATCTAAGAGGGGCCCCAGTCCTAAACAAATCGCTACAATCCGTTATGTCTGTTTGTACTTTTTGCTGACGTATGCATCAGCTCAAAGATGGCTAAGCATGCTTTTGAACAGAAGATCAAAGGCTTACATAATTAAAGTAATCTGAAATTCATAGCTTTTACCACCATCCTTAGCCAAAACACAAGGTGCCATTGAGCAAGGCACTTAACTTTCAACTGTCAAGTTATACTGGACATCTCTAAAAGGCCAGCATTAGGACTGTGCAGCTTCCAGGTGTAGATTTGAGCAGCTTTGTGAGTGCGAAACAGGCTGTTGCTGGAAAATAATCTGGTGCTCTGTTGACTCTCCCTGGAGGACAAAGGCTTCAATTAGGTAAAAGTTAATCTGCATCTGTGTGGTCTCTAATGTATGTCTTATCGTCTCACAAGGTTAGTGGGATAGACCCAGTGAGGCAGACAGGAGAAAAGTAGGTTCGGTACATGTTGTGGTCAGATGTTCCCTCGGCTCAGCCTGGGCTCGGTAACCCACAGAGAGGAGATGGACACTAATGAAAAAATATTGGACAGCAGACAGCACTCTACTCTGTTGTTTTGCACAAAACGTCGGTCTGGTCCTTGGCCTGAATTATATAAAATGCTCCGTAATTTATTCTAGATTTACTTTGATGGTTACTGCAAAGAATATTCAGAAAAAAACAAAGGAAAACGTATCCACCACACTTACCTTTGGGTAATAGCTGGAATCCGTTTTACTTTGATATATGACAGGGAACTGGAGAGATCAATGTAATGTGTTGATTTTGATGTGTGCACACTTTTATAAATCATGGCTCTGGATTTAATCTGGTTTCATGCAGAATCTTTTTGCATGAGAGACTTCCATAAATAAGGGCTCTGCTTTTCAGATTTTCAAAAGCAAAGCTCCAAAAGTTACAGTGTGTTTCACGATATTCATGTTATGTCACGTTTTTATGTCTAGGTTTGAATGTTTTGCTGTTCTCCCTGTCATGTTTTCCTCCTGGTTTATTGTCTGGTCCTTTTCCCTGTGTTTTTCCTCCTGTCATTAGTTTCCCTGGTGTGTCTAGTTGTCTGATTGTGTTCACCTGTGGCCCTTGTGTTTCTCCTCCCCTGCCCGGCTGTTTCTCGTCTTGTGATTACCCCTCCCTGTATTTAGTCTTGTCTCTTCCTGTGTTCGGTGTCGGTTCATTGTTTTGTCTTTCCTGTCTCCCTCCATATTGGTCACGGTCAGTTTTGTTTGTTAATGCTACCTTGTGCTACTTGTGTTTTTCCGTACTATGTTTATCAGCTTTTAAATAAAGCTCGTTTTTGTTTCTAGACCTTTTACCTTTTTATAGTCTGCATTTGGGTCCTACCTTTTCCGCAAACCGTAACAGAATGAACCGACCAATTTTGGACTCAGCAGACTTTGATTATTTTGCTCTACAGGCG